TGCCCCGCAACCTCAAGGGCTCGGGTTGGAATCCAAGCCTGAATTGTCCAGGGGAAACAGCTGACTAACAATGTCAGCTGGGGAATATTTTGATACCTTCAAATTCGGCCCCACGTAGGCAGAGGCCGCACAAAGAGCTCTGGGACCGAAGAGCCCCAGGAATGGTACGCAGGGCCGCAGGGAGCCTGCCCGGGCTGCCCGCATTCCCCTCATAGCTAGATAAAGTGGCTCCCAAAAGAGGTTTCCAGATCCGCCCCAGTGGGCACCACCAGGCCGACCGTGGCTGCTTCCAGCTGTGCAGGGCTTCACAGAGCTAGGCACTCTATTTGAATGTGAAAGACGGGCCTCAGTCAGAGAAGCCCTTAAGCCATAAAACCCTTCACACCAAGGCCAAGTGTCACCCTTGTAAGAGGGTGTGATTTATAAATTGACAGCACCCACAAAGCTGCTTTTGTACTCCTCCCCGTTAGTTAACAATCTACCTCCCCCTACCAAACTCACGGAGCTATTCAGATAAGGCTTGACTGGGCCTCAAAAAGAAAGAAAAAAAGGAAGAAAGAAAAGGACCCAAGTTTTGGCCAAAACACCAAATGTTCACTCTGGATAATTATGGTCCTGTGAATAGACACTAAAATTAGGGCTTAATAATTCCTCTGTGTCACACGCACAGCATCTAACTATTCCAGTGCAAACATAAAGAGCAAGAAAAAAAGTCTCCAACACGGCCTCGCTGGAAACTTGAAGAGGCCCACTTCTGTGGTTTTCCGCAGTCTCTTTTGCGGTTTCTGTACTCTCAGAATCCCCCCTTTAGAGCAACTTTAACTCCATGCTCGGACCAGCTGTTTTCCTTTCTCGACATTTAAATCTACAAAGCGAAGAGGAAATATAAGCCTGGTCGCGTCTTTCCTCTCAGTTCAACCAAACCAATGCTGGCCACTTCGTCCTGTTTTCCCCACCGTATGATCCCCTTCTCGGATCCCACCACTGACTAGGAAACCATCGTCTGATTCCCTTCCCATACCTCTTTCTAGAAAATGGATTTAAATTACCGCACCAGTTCCAAGAAGACTCTAAGTATACGCTTATAAATGTACACCTGATAACATGTGTCAACACTGAGGACTTTCTTCTTGAAAGGTTATTCGATGAAAACAAAACACAACTTTAAAGAAACAAAACAAAAGCAATTCAAGTTTAAACGATCTCCTGCCCACTTAGGACTTAAGAAAAAAAAAAATAATGGCCTTAGCTCAAAAACAGTCTTTCTGACACTACTCCACATGCCAGGGGTCAAACTGGTGGGCCACAGACTAAGTAAGTCCTACAGACATCTCTTTAGCTGCCAGTGTTGATGGGAACAGCACTCAAACTGAGCAGGTTGCCAGTATTAAAAAGTTTGGGACAGAACATTAAAAAAAAAAATCTACATTTCTTACTCTCTTGACAAAGAACACGTGGCATCATCCCTCAAGGCTGCTGAGTGGGACTCGCTCTGGCCCAGTCCCTCCAGTCCACCCCTCCTCAAGCCCGCCCCGCTTGCCTCCTCCAAAGTCCCTTACGAGGCCCAGGGTCTCCGCCCTGTCCCCACAGTACACATACCTTTTTGACCATAGTTGTCTCAGAGGAATCCAGTTTTGCTCTCTTGGTATCAGGTCCATCCTCCACTCCCTGGCTCACTTTGGCAATTTTGGTTTTCTCCCTAGAGGGTGACAAGGGAGAGAATCCAGTTCTACCCTAGGAATCCCACCATTAAAACAAAAAACATCGGCGGCTCACAGAACAGGATGGTGATTAAGAGCCAAAAGCTTTGGAGTCAGACAGACCTGGATTCAAATCCCAGCTCGGCCACTGGTTACTGACAAGCCAGTTACCCGCCATGGGGGAGCAGCACCCCCTGACAGGATTCTTCCAAGGAGAATAACATATATTGCTTAAGCTCTCAATAAACTTTATGGACGTTCCACCTGAATCATCAAATAAACAGCCAAAGTGGATTTCTCCCCCGTGCCACGGGGTGAGCTCCCGTTAAAATCACCCGGACTGCTTTTCTCTAGCATGTCTTCTTCGCTCACTTCTAATGTTCCCAAAGCCATAAAACGCTAGTTGTGAGATCTTGAAGACGCTTGTCCTTTCTTCATCTCAATTTTACAGGCAAGGAACTTGCAGGCCAGAGAAATTTCAGTGACTCCTCTGATAAGCTGAACTGGAGAAAGCCATTCTCTGACTCCTGGTAGGAAGCTTCACTTGCCACCCAGTAGGGTCTCCTCACCTCTCGTGGGGAAAAGGGGGGACGGTGGTCAAAAAGCTACAGCCAAGACCCAACTCGCATAGTTTTACGATACTGGCATCGCCTTTCATCATTCATCCAGAAGCTACTAGTTCAAAACACTGCAGGTCCCATCACGTGAGAACCGCCCCGGTCGGCAACCATGACGTTCAAGATGAGAGGAGGGGGTCTCTGCTACGCCAGAGCAGTGTCTGGACCTCGGAGATTTTCCGGGCTAGACGCTGGCTGAGCGTGCCACCGGCTGCCCATCTAACTATTTCGTACTCGTGTTACTATCTCTCAACGTGAAAACACGCAAACTCACATTGGGCAACCAGTGGTTACAGTCCAAGCACATGTGCCTGGGGCCCTGAAGCCTGGACCAATCAGGTTCCCAGGTGCTGCATGGTGACCACCTGGAGCTCTGCTCTCTTCGTACTTCAGGTCAGCCCATCAGTTTGGAAGGCAAGGGCCACATCCCCCACAATTCCGAGCACACGACCTATGTATCACAAGCTGTTAACGATTTGGTTTCCCAATGCTCTAAGTATCACAGTAAAATACTTCCCTTAAATGGTTCAGTGAATAAAACTACATTCTGACACTGCTGTTCCCTCCTCCTCTGCCAACACTCACTCTACAAATTCATGCTCTCCCAGGTTGGCAAATGTGTATCCATGGTAGCCAAAAACATCTCCTGTGAAGAACTTGATGCTGTTTCTGTGACAGATCTGGTCCACTTTAACTATGACATCCCTGGAGCAGCAGGTCAGGCACACCTGCGGAAAGAAAGGAACCGGCTGGGTGTCAGTTCTGCAGACTGTGAGTCACCGCCCTGATGTCTGAACACATCCTAACCAGCGGTCTCTCTGGGCATGTCTAGCGCCAGCGTCAAACTGGTACAACAGGTTCTTTGGACCCTACGGTTAAAAGACAAAAGAGAAGTTGTAGGTTTCAGGGTAGAAAATGTAAATCAAGAGACTGTCCCTTTCCAAAACATGTTTAAATAGAAAGTAAAAGCCATTCAATGAATTTGTTTCCCCTGATCCATGTATGTATATAAACCACGTTTCAGTTTTCAGGAAAAGGAAAAAGACAGGAATAACCTGGTATAAGTTGTTTTTAAATGATTAAGTCTATTAAAATCTGAATAAGCTACAGTGAGAAGCCAAACTAGTTTTTTAAATTGACCCAAAGGTCATGTTTAAATACAAGGGCATTTTTCCCCCTTCTTTTGATTGATATGTTAAGATAAAGAAGATAAACAAGTCCCATTGAGACTATTTTTCCAGTTTTCGATGTGAAACTTTATCTGAATTTAAGGACGAAAGGGGTACAGACCATGTGCCCTTCCTTCAGCTGCAGACAACGAGCCAGTGGCTCCCTCCGTGGGATTATCGATGTTGCTCGGAGGCTTCTAGATTCTGCTCCGATATGCCGAGGTACTGGAAATGGCTAAATTTTATTGCATAAAAACGATCTTTCGAGAGAAATTTTGGGATCAGGGCCAAGAAGGCGATTTCTAAATTGCCCATATTCTCTTCTGAACATAGGAAGTTGAAGAAGAACTTACACGACGATATTTTCAGTCGATAGAGCCTCCCTGCTCTCATCTGGCAGCCCAGACACTGAAGTAACACTCAGAAATGCGTGCCTCTGGTGTCGTTCAAGGGACACAGCCTCCCAAGGTGAAAAGTCACATCTCGAAGGTAAGACAGTCACAGTTGAACATGCAATCAACTGACCAAACAGAAGCCCGCGGAGTCGAGTGACTGTCAGACGCACATGGGTGTCACACGAGCGACTGGCCCCGCGCTTCAATTCTAACAAAGCTCCTCTCTACCTGCTAGACGTTCAAGACATAAACCAAATGTGGTTACTATGGGTAAAAACATGAAGGGAAGACTTCTGTCCAAAGAGAAAATGTTCCACTATCTGGAGTTACAAAACAATGAATCAAAGAGAAAAAGAAAAATAGGACAAAATGCACAGACGATCCCTCATTCTAAGTCCATATTTGAACGGATGTGTATGTGAAATATAACGGTGTGAAAAATCTACGCAACCCAAATGCTTAACTATCGTGTAATGGGCTTTCCATTTAAAAAACAAGTAGACCATCTGCGACCACTTGACGGTTATCCAACGCGTGTTAAGCTTTTCCCAGAGTACAGGGAGCCATGTCTGAAAGGTCACAGACACTGAAACAGAACTTAACGTATGCTTTCACCTCTGCACAGACTGGGTAGTGAAACCAAATGAGGCTGGCTATGCCTCTTCTGGCTTATGACTCCAGTCATTCTGTCTAGTTACCCATGGTCAAAGTAGCTATGTGAAAGGGACAGACCGAGATCAGGTGTGCTCTTTTTAAAAGACAAAACACAATCTGTAGTGTGATATTTGTAACAACAACAACAACAACAAAAAAGACTGCTACAAAAATTAATCACCGACTTGTTAAGCTTTAGGGAGAAAACATTTGCAATAAAATGTATCAAAACTACGTGCAAAAGATTCTGGAAAGACGGACGCCAGTGGTGAAACCCAGTCCAGGGGACATAGGCCCAAAGAAGAAACCAACCAACAGCAACTCACAGCAACAGCAGATTCGGCATACTGAACCCACCTTCCGACGCATCCGATCTACTAAGGCAACATACCAAACCTAGAGAACACAACACTTTATATACTTGGGAAAAGGCTCCGCATTCGAGATTCTAATGCTCTTGTGTGCCCAGTATACACACAACGAGTGCCTTCATCAGCTCAATCCCCGCAACACGCTACACACTCTCTATGAAACTTACAGCATCGAACTGAGTGAAAAAGGATTCAGGTTTCTTCTCTATATTCTCAGTGTCCACCTTCACATCCACCATGGGGTTGAGGTTCTGGGCTCGCTCCAGAGAGGCTTCAGCCCTGTTTCGGCCAACAGACCCAGTACGGATCAGGAACTGAGCTCCGGGGTCTTCCGGAGATACCTAGGGAGAATGTTTCAAAAAATATTTGAATTTTAGGGAAAAAAAATCTCAAAGACAGTGAACTTTTCCATTTTAAAGGATAACTAAAAGACCTACCACCTAATTTACATTACTGTTCCTGTGGGAATCTGCCTAATGCAAACCCCTACACCCCTACTCCTTCCTTCCCAGGCTGTAAAGCAGAACTTTGTACTGGGCGATGACAGTGAAAGAGCACCCCCTTGTGTTTATAAAGAAAATTCACTAAACAGAGAAGGCCGTGTTGTCTTCTATTTATGTTCCTAGCTGCTTAACAAAATGGCAAAATTCAGACATAATCAGGCATGCTTGAAACTCTTAATTTCAATTAAAACTCAGAGAGGAGAGATGAATGGGGGCTGGAGCACAGGGATGATTCACCCATAAGGCTAGATATCCCAGAGAGCCTCAGAGACAGATACTCTAATCCCTCCACAGTCCCGAGCAGGATCAGACTCCATGCTGTCCACACAGCATTTCTTCCCACTTCAAAAATCTAACTCAACCCTTTATCTCTAGATATGAGCTTGCCATCTTCACTAAGACTGGGTTCACCAGAGGTACCCTCCCCACCTCTCCCGCTGCCAACTACCCACAGCACGCTCTCCCCTGCTATCTTTCCTCCAAGAAATCGAACTGGTCCTCCTCCCATTGGAGGCCAACCCTCTAACAGCATCCTTGATCCATGCCATCCCGCTTCTTCAGGGATCTTACTATATACCGAGACGCTGTACACCGCAGTGATTAAGAGAGAAGCTCTGGCATAATTCAGGTAGAATTCAAATCTTTGATTCGAAGCCTGGTTCAACCACTTATGTGTGACCTTAAGCGAGCATGAAGGAATCACATCTAAAACACAGACATTAATAAAAATAATGCACTTACTAATCACTCCAGCAGTGCCAATTATTCCTATCTGTACTCTGCTCCCTGGCCTCTCTGAGCCTCGCTCTCCTTCTCCCTCGCTAGTCCCATCCCTCTACGGGTCCTCTTAGGTGTGACTGTTCCCAAGATTCCATCTCAGAATCATTCATCTTTTCTCTGTAGAGCTCCGTAAACTGACTCAATGCATCTCAGTTTCTACCAAAATCTGCTGTTTCTCAAACCGCTGGCAGATTTCTTCCTGATCTGAGTCCTAACCGCCCACCAAATGCTTCTTCCTAGATGTCCCACAGGCCCTTTAACTCCTGTACTTGTTGTCCCTGTTGACAAGCCTGCCAACCACCATTGTGTCACCCGAACCCGAAACCTGGTCTTTATATCATTGATAGTTCCCTGACAGCAGCCACCTATTAAGGTGGCTAGGAGAACGGGCTGTCAGGAGTCGGACTGAATGGGCCATGGCCTATCGTTAAGGACTGTGACCTTGAGTGGGCCAGTACTTCGCTTCCTTTTTCTCAGCCATCTTAGCCGTAGAATAGGGAAGGATGATAATCCCTACACATCAGAGCCGAGGTGAGGACCAAACGAGGTAACACAGCCACAGCTCTCAGAGCAGTGTCCCTACTGTCCCTGCTCTAGTCAGTGCTTGCTTTTCCTACACCCCCAAACACGATCCTAACAATTCTACCTCCCGTTTTTCTCATCTATGTGCTTCCTGCCCCATCCCCAGGACCATTACTCAGATCCTTGCCATCTCTCACCGAAACTAAAGAGGCCTTCTAAGTGGTCTACCCTGTGTCTTGTGCCAACCACAGTTTGTACAGTAATCGCTGATCTACCTAAAAGCCCAAAGCCACCCGGGTCACCGCTCCCACTGGAAACTCGATGACTCCTCGCCACCCAGAGAGTTAAGTAAACGCTTACGGCAGGGCCTGCTAGCAGGCTCTTCACGACACCGTCCTTACCTGCAACCTGCTTCCACCCCCGCCGCGTTGGGCTTCACACTCTAAAAGCACTGAACTGCTTTTCATGTCAATTTCTACCGTGCTGTTTTGTGCCACTGCTAATGGTCCCTGCCTGAAACACAGCCCCTCGGTTTGAAAAACTTCTTACTCGTTCTTTCAGACTGAGCTCAGATTAGAACTCCAGGAAGACTTTCAAGTTCCCCTACCGCGACCTAAGTCATGGAGTCCACCGTGATTTCTGGGAAAAACCTAACAATGGGATCCCAATGCTGTGCATCTTTGTATCACCAGCATCTGGAGTACGACCAGCAGATGCTCTTAGCTGCTTGCTGATAGAAACAAAATAAAGAACTCTATGGGCAGAAACTGACACCCTCACTTTGGATGAGCGGCACGAGTCTCTGAAAGGCTAAACCCCTTGCCCAGCTGAAGTCACAGACTCTGAGGTGTCTGCGGCATGTTCTGTGGCAGGCAGCGCCGTCTCCCCGGCGTTCCCAGCTGGGGACAGAGCACGAGCAAACTGCAGAGGGCAGACCAACCACACAGCCAACCACACCGTTAACTCACAAACAGTTACACTTACGAGATGGAAATAGGGCTGAATTGACGGGGAACTTATACGAAGCCGGTGGTTCTCAGCCCTCCCGGATTGATTCTCTCACCTGGGGTACTTTCATTTTTAAAAACTCCCCAAATACTCTAAAGCACAGACAGGACTGGGAACCTCTGTGTGAGGCCCTGAAAACCAGGAAGAGGAGTTGGGCCTTGCAGTGGAAGGCAGGCAGAAGAGATAAGGGATGATGATCTGCCTGTTCGCACCAACGCTAGGTGGCGCCTGCCACTGGGCTGAGGCAGTGACAGGACTGCTGTGCACGGCCCTCGGTGTCTGTCATCGTTCCCACCCAGACAAGGCACGCGTCCTTCCCGTGTGGCTCCATTTTTCTGCAGCGAGGTGTCGAAGTTTAAGAACCACCCGTCCTGGGGTCTACACTGTGAACGCATCCTTCTCGTGGATGGGATGCTCCTGCCTCTAGGGGGCTCTATGGCCGGCGAGATGTCCAAGCAGCCCGAGCTCAGACCGTTAATAACCTGGCAGCCGGCTCGCAGGAATTCTCTTCCCTTAAAAGGCTCTGAATTCACATCAAAACTCAATTTGTGATATTAAGTGAACCAACCCACGTTTCTCTTCATATTGCAGAATTTTTAAAAATCAGCAATTCCGGGTATTCTTTTTCTGAAACCCAGAACAAGGTGAGCTTTTAAAAATGTCATTAACCTTGACTTTTGTCCAGAGCCTACACCTCACGCTATGTGCTAGTTACTTAGCGTGAGACAGAGCTCCTGTTCATTGCCTAAAAGGAAAAAAAGACAAATTATGTCATGTGACAACACAATCTTTGAAAGTATTTTACCTAAAATACTGTCCAAACATAGAGAAAGGATAAAATTGTTAAAAATCAGCAAAATATTGGTATCTGTAGAAGCCATGTAGATGGGTGTCAAATGTTCTACTTTTGTATATATCTGATATGTCCTATGAAACCTAAAATGTCGCTGAGGCGTGAGTGCAGGGAAAGCAGCCATTATTCCCACCTCAGTGAAAAAACAGGTCAGAAAGCAATGTTGGAGTTGGGCTCTATTATTATATTACCAGTTAAATAAGATTACATCATACAACAATTATTAATTATTGGATACTTGTTACGTGCAAGCGCTGTGCTAAGCAGTCCGCATTTATTCTCTCTGACCCAGTGTTTTCCACAGTGCCGTCTGCAAGCCATCTGCACCGAGACCTCCTTGGGTACCTTCACTGTTTAAATTATTTTTTAATTGAATTGATACCTTTTAAATGTATATAGTCCTGGTGCCGTCTGCAAGCCATCTGCACCGAGACCTCCTCGGGTACCTTCACTGTTTAAATTATTTTTTGTTTAACTGAATTGATACCTTTTAAATGTATATAGTCCTGACCCGATCTGAGACCCTCTAAAGCAGAATCATTGCGGGGGGGCGAGGGGGGGGTTGGTGAAGGCTGTACCATGACGAAGCCCATAGGCAATTCTGATTTTTAATTAGTTATTCAGGTGATTTATTCCCATGAATTGGAAAGCCACAGCTCCATCCCTCAGGCTCAGCAAGGAGACAGGAGTCTCCACGGGTTGACTACTTAGGATGGGGTGAAGCTGAATTCAAACCTGGTGCTCGCTTTTACTCTCCAAAGGCTACAGTTCCACGAACACCGGCCCCCCTTCCACAGTCCTCAAGGGGAAAGCAGGGACTCCCCAAACCTCCAAGCGCTTGCACTGAAGAGGGGACGCCGCGAAGCACAGCTCACCTGTTCGTGATCCAGCATGGTCAGTCCTTTCACTCCCGCTAGGATGAGATTCTTGGCAATTTCAGCCCCAAGTCCTTTCATGCCAACGAGAAGCACCCGGGAGGCCCGCAGCCTGTAAGGCAGACACTGTTAACCAGGTGACAGAGAACAGTAGAGCTGGCCCCATCACTGAACAACAAAACGACGGGGCAATAATTTGAGTTTTAACTAAATGCAGTGAAGCATCACGGCCTCAAAACTAGGAGAGACGTTCCAATCCATCCTGCAGAGAACAATTCATTCAACAAATACCTGTGCCAGGCACTTCTCTCTCTAAGGTGCGTCTTATTCATTGAAATACGACAATAAGACATAATCCCTGCACTTCCGGAGCTTATATTGTGTGAAAGAGACAAATAAATAAGATGTCAAAAAGTGATGAAAATCAAGCAACATGATGGATCGAGACTGATGGAGGATGCTACTTCAAGTCAGACTCATCATGAAGGCCTTCTGCGGTGCCGAGCACAAATTAAAACAAAATAAAGGATGAACAGGTATTTGGGAGAGAAGAGCACTCTGGGCAGAGAAAACAGCAAGTGCGAAAGCCTGCGACAGGATTCCTGGCACGTTTCAGGAATCCTGTTGCAGGCTTTCGCACTTGAGCGGAGGGACGAAAGGCAGAGAGTGAGGTTGCAGACAGAACCAGGGGCTGCATCACGAAGGCGCTTACAGGATTTATAAGGATTCTGGATTTTACCCTAAGCCTGATGGACGGCCCAGGGGGCAGAGGGGTTTGAAGGGGACGAGTATCACAGTTCAGGTGAGAGGATGGTGGGGTGCACGAGTATGACAGAAGAGGATGTGCGAAGCGTACTATTCAGGCTAGAACACACAAGCAAAAATGTGGCAGCATGAAATAGGGTGTATGTGGGACATATGTGGATCGTTCTAACTGTAAAGTGACAGAAGATGATGCCAACAAGATAGTCAGAGGCTGGGTTACCCCAAGGAGTCTGCATTTAACTCTTGGTCAGTGGGGGGCAGCACGGGTCCATGAGATCTCATTTAAAATCCCTTGAACCAGAATTGATTCAGAATCTGGATTTTTAAGATTTGAAAAAGGAATAGAGAGCATGGTGTCATATGGGGGCTAGACTTATCAGGGTGATCACTTCATAAGGTAGAGAAATTTCTAGTCACTATGTTGTATACCTGAAATTAATATAATATTGTATGTCGACTGTAATTGAAAAAACTTTTTACCGCCATACCACCCTGAATGTGTCTGATCTCATCTGATCTCAGAAGCTAAGCAGGGTCGGGCCTGGTTAGTACTTGGATGGGAGACCACCTTGGAATATAGGGTGCTGTAGGCGTTAAAAAAAAAGAAATAAATATAAAATAAAAGAACGAAGTGCTTGTCCACTGTCATAAAAAAAAGTTTACGTCATATATTATGAAACAACCCCATCAGGATCTTAGGCAGCATCCTACAATGAAACTCATTAATATTTCTGCAGCAAACGTATGATTATTCACACTGGAAAGGACTGGTAAGAACTAAGAACAGGCTCACGTAAGTTCAAGTTCTGCTGGCCAATGAGTTCGCTCTTAACTTCTGAAATGAATCAGTCCTCAACAAGTACCAGTATTGGGGAGATCAAGCAGAAACTCTTCCCCAAAATGGTTCTAACAATTCTGGACACCTGCACGTCATTAGACCAGAAGTCTTTAATGCGAATGGTGGCTGATGATTAAAGTAGAGTCCTGTGCTGATTCTGGATGCTGGCAGATTTTGGATTTCCTTCACTGATAGGACCAAAGGGTAAAATGAAGGGAGGGAGAGAATACTGACAATACTTTCCGCGAAGGTCTATGTCTGCGTCTCGGCTCCTCCATCACTGCTTTTCTTCTATGAGTCCTTCCACTGCCAACCACAGGCTAACAGACGCGAGACAATTCCACCTCGCCAGAACAGGAGGCTGGGACAAGGGCTTACAGACACGAGCAAGGTAAATAACAGAGATGTCAGCAACAAGCAGGTCTCTTCCCAGAGATGCACCAGCGGGTGAGGGAGGGAGGAAAGCTGCTCGGCTTTCCAGGGTCTCATCCCTGAGAATCAGCACACGTAAAAAGCCACATTTCCAAACAGAATCCAGTGCACACATCAAACCTGTGGCACCGAAAGGTCGCACGCATCTTACATTTAGCTGTACTTGCAGGTCTCTGCTGCGCTGAGTTGACACCCCCCCACCCCCGGCCCGACACTGCCGCATCTAGAGTCCAGGTTCCACCTTCCCTCTCCATCAGAGAGGCTGGATTTCTCCTGTCTGGCTGCTCGGCACCTCCAGGATGCAACCAGAATGGCCCAGCTCTCTAGGCATCCGCATCTTCAATGGTCCCCAATGGCTTCCTAATCTCCAAGTCCAAAGCCACGGACTCCACAGGCTGTCCTCTGATGTTCCTTCAGGAATGGGCACTGCCATCACTCACGCCCTCTAGGCCTGATGACTTGGGTTTGAATTCTGGCTCTGCCACTTCCTGCCTGGGTGACCCGAACGAGCTGCAAATCTCTCTGAACTTCAGTTTATTCACCTGGAAAGTCATTCAGTCCCCTTGCCGACTTGATAAACGTGTGTGTAAAGCCATCTGGCCTAATCCCTAGCATGTAACACATTCGGTATGTTACTTAAGTTATTGAACTTCTCAATCCCCATTTCCTTATCAAATGGCTCAGTGACAGGTTTCATTCTGATTTTCAAAAATATCTGACAGGGAAAAAAAATCTCAATCTAAAATGGCGTTTAAAGCCAATCAGTACCAGCTCCCTCCTCCTTCCCCAGCCTCACCCGCCACCACTGCCAGACTTTCAATCGCGACACCCCACACGCCCAGAATGCACACCCGCCTCTCTGTGCCCGGCCCAGCCTGTCCCTAACTCGAACGCTGTTCCCTCAGCTCATCCTTTCTCACGACAGACTCAGGCAAACGCTCTCCTCGAACTCACAGCGGCTGCTCCGCGAGCGCCTCGGACACAAGTCGCGCGCGGCCACGTGGCTTCTCTGTGACCCGTGTCCCATGGAGCTTTTCAGACTGACCGCGTGCGAGTTTCTTCTTCAAGTGGCATCACCACGGAGCGTGTCTACGTTGTCAGCCCTTAACCGTGCTGGGGGCCCTGGGACTACGGCTTACTTATGGTTCGGCTCAGTGAAAAGCACTTAAAATAGTGCCCGGCACAGAGTCGGCACCTGGTGAGTGACAGCCGTTAGGCCACACAGCTCTGGTCACACACATACTATGGAAAACACTAAAGGGCCATTTAAAAGAATGTAATAATGACAGCATTTATTAAAGTTACTGTATGATGGGCACTGTTCTAAGCAATGTATATGTATAAACTGTGAGGCAGGTACTATTATTATTCTAATTTTACGGATAAGAAAGCTGAATGTAATAGAAAAAATAATGGCCATATCCCCCAGGACCTGTGACTAATTACCTGACGAAAGGTGTGCCTAAGGAATTTGAGATGGGGAGATTATCCTGGATTATCTGGGTGGATCGAAGCGATCATAAGGGTCCTTATAAGAGGCAGGCAGAAGAGGTTAGAGTCAGAGAAGCTGTGATAATAAAAGCAGGGGCTATAGTCAGAAATAAGAGATTGGAAGATGCCAGGCTGCTGGCTTTGGAGATAAAGGGGCCAGGAAACAAAGAATGCAGGCGGCTTTCAGACACCAGAAAAACCAGGCAGACAGATTCCTCCCTGGAGCCTACGCAGGGACCACAGCCCTGCACACACCTTGACTTTAACTCAGTGAAACTGACTTCAGACTCATGACCTCCAGAACTGTAAGAGAATACATCTCTGTCGTTATGGCAACTGTTAGAGCAGCAACAGGAAAGTAATACACTGAGGCACAGAGTCGTTAAGACACTCGCCGAAGGTCACACAGCTACCAAAAAAGCAAAGCAGATATTAACGCAGGTAGTACAAATGAATGTAAAATTACTTTGTGATGTAACGTGTAACAATGACAGGAACCATCCACAGAGGGTTCACTGAGTACCAGACACGGGCTGCTAGGTACATTATATGGAACTGCCTCAATGAAACCTTGATTCTGGTTCTTCACCATTTTACCCTCTTGGCAAAAAAACATACACGCCCTAAACGTTGCATAAAATTTCTCTTCCTGAAAGTCCCAGGGGCTCCACAGACCCCGAGGGTAGACCATCATGTCCCCCCAGGAAAGGATCCATGTCTGCCCTGAGGAAGGAAAAAACCGAGGCTCAGAAAAGGTGTCCGAGCTCTCACAGCTCACGGCTGGCCAGAGCTGGGGTCAGAATTCAGAATTCTGACTATGATCTATGATTTTCCTCTCGATGTGTCCCCCACGCTGCCTGGTATACAGTAGGTCTAAATAAACACATGCTGATTTTACTCTCTTTGATTTCTGCTGTCACATAAATACCTTCCAACCTTCTGGGAAGGAAGGGATCAGAGCCTTTACATCATAGGTTTTGAATTCGCTATACACACTGCAAGTTAAGTCAAGTCAAAGCATGGTTAAAAACTCCTCACTACCAAATTCACATTTGAACCACCCCTGCTGAAAGTCTGATGTTGGAGAGTGAATCATGCAACAATCTGGTATAAGACTATGTCAAGGAAGGTGAGCATGAAGCCCTCGAGGCCACGAGAGAGCTTCAGCCCATCTGAAGAACAGGAAGATTCAAAACACCCAAATGAACGAGCCAGGGAGATGCAGACAAGCCAGGGCATAGAAGGCAATGGATTTTTAACAGCTTTGGATTTTATTGAGTACACCAGGAAATCACCGGAGGGCTGTAAGCCAGACCACTGTGATCTGATTTTTTAATTTAAATCTGGCTGGCTGCTGTGTGAAGAACAGATTACAGAGTCACGAGTGGAACAGGGGGAATGGGTGAGGAGGCTGCTGAGGTGATCTGAAATGATGGGTGTGTCTCGGACTAAGGAATGAAGAAAGGGAGATGAGAGAAAGTTCGAAGCAGAGCTGACAGGACTTCCCAATAGACTGAAGGTGGGCATAAGGGACAGGATGAACCAAGAACTAGGCTTCCTGTCTGTGCAGCGGAGTAATCGGTGGGGTCATTGGCATTTGGCAGATCTGACAACTTTCTTCTTCTGGAAATATTCTTTCTTCACTTAACAGTACAGTACTTCTCAATTAAATCTACAATCCTGCTCCATCCAACTGCTAATTCATTTTATTTATTTAATTCATTTTAGTTTCCCCTCTTCTGTGATTACGGCTGTAATTTACGGGATCCTTTCTGTGCTTACGCAGGGACACACATTATTGTCTCGCATTATTGTCTCGTTTAGTTCTCCACAATCTTGTAGATTTTACTACCTCCACTTGATGAGAAAACTGAAGCACAAAGAAATGCATCCAAGGGTAAACAATTAACATTGTTCTGGGGCTGAGAGCCAAACTCAACTACTAACCACTATCGACCACTAGAGTAAGTTAGTCCTTATATGAAATAGTCAGGACTGACCGGCCTCCAGCACGCAGAACATGCTCACTCACTTCAATGACAAATACGTGCCTACGGAACCAACCGAGGTTCCTGTGAACAAGCCAGCAGTGCTGGGCAATGAGTGCTTGAAAACAGGGACGTTTGTGTGGTCCCTTTTTTGTCAAGTCAAAATTTTGGAGCTGGATAGAGTCCTTACAGATTTTGTCACACTCACCCCTTTTTGCAGATGTAGAACCTAAAGCCAAGAAACTGTGTGACTCGTCCAAGAGCAGAGAACTAGTCAGTAAAGCTGGGAGCTGAACCCAGGTTTTCTGACTTCCTAGGTCTTTGCAATGTGCATTTCATTCACTCGACAAATACCTAAATGTCTACACACTTGCAAGCCCTGGAAATTTAAGGGAGACCAGTCAAAACCCACATCGGAATGACTGGACTTTTCTAAACTGCTTGTCCTCATGGAGCTTATAATCTACCTCCCTCTCTCCAGTCACCACCCCCCTTCCTCTCTTAGATGTGGGGATAAATCATCATTGAGCAGAAGGAGAAAAATTAGACGCACTCTGCTATGAAAAGCCCGGGGAAAAACTGCTAAGGCGCACATTCCGAGAACGTACATGGCTGCCAGCTTCAGCGCCAGCCTCTACGTTCATCTGACTTAAAGAATGAGCCCCATGGTGGAAAATGAGCTGTCGTGGAAAAGGCAGGGAACCTGAAGGTAGTAACTACGATCCCAATGCTACTCCTATTTACTTGGTGTGCGACCTTGGGAGCTGGCACTCTTCTCTGAACCTCATCCAAGAAACAGGCTACGCACCACAGCAAGAAATGTGAACTCACATGCTCACAGGGGCCAGGCAATTACATCAGTGCCTGAGACTGAGCTGATGGAGATGACGGCGAAGTAGAGGCCCCACGTTCTGTGTAAGAGAGGAGGCCTCTACTTAGCTCCATTCGAGGCAGGATTGTCTGACCTTTCTATTTTTCAAAAGACAGAAATCAGAAACTCTACGTGAAACCTCCAGTTGGGGGATTAGGGGGAGGGGACATTTCCTCCCGACACACATACTTCTCATTATAAACAATTTCAAACATACAGAAAAGTAGAGAGAATAGATAACATTTGCCCTATTGGCTTTACCCATATGCGACCTACACCATGGCATTTCACGCCTTTAGCGTGCTTCTCCAAAAATGACATTCTCTTTTTAACCGTACTATTATCTAGAAAATGGCCAAATATCATCTGATAGAGGACTGAATGTTCATATTTCCCCTGTCTAAAAGATGTTTCATACAAGTTCTTTTTTCAACCAAGATCCAGTCGAGGTTCACACCTTGCATTTGTCCCCACCTCTTTACTAAATCTAGGACGGTCCTTTCACTTGTTTTTTTTCCATGACATTGACTTTTGGAATAGAACCAATGCAGCTGTCGTGTAAAAAGCTCCACATTCTGGATGTCTGTCTTATCGTTACCCCAATGGTGTCCTTTAATTTGTTCCTCTGTTCTCTAAAAGCATGACAAGATTCAAAGATATTCAACAGGAAAACTTCAAAGATGATGCACTAAGGTTCTCATTTCACCACATCAGAAGGCACATTATTAATAATCAACCTCCGAAAGAGACAAACAAGTTATTTCTCGTTTGAATATTAGCTTGGCTTTACGGATTCTAAGTTACAAAATATTATTAAATATAAGCAGGGTTGGTCCTGGTTAGTACTCGGATGGGAGACCACTTAGGAATACCAGGTGCTGTAGGTGTTACAAAAAAAAATTATTAAAGTTGATTTTATTCTTTCTGATGCCCAAATTGTCCCAAATTTGGCCAATTCTCTAGACCTGTAAATGCTGGCAACTAATTTAAAACACTGTATGAGAGATACAGCCCAGTATTTAACCTCTAGACTGTATGAGTTCCCTAGGAAGGCCTATTTTAATGGTACTCACTCTCCCTTCTAGTTCTCAGACAACCTGGGTCCAACATCACCATCAGAGGCAAAGCTGTAGCCAGAATGCAGTCTGCCGCCTTCCATTTCACAAAGGAACCCCAGCCCCCGGAGGTCTATCGCTCCTGAAGTTCCCTTAGAGGCAAGTCGATCTGCTTTGTAGAGCCCCCTTCCTCTCTACACAGGGGAGGGAATCACTGCCCTTCCTACCCAGAGAGCTGCTGGGAGACTCAGTTGAAAAACAGCCACGAGAGCACTAAAACTCTGTAAGACTATCTACAAATACAGATTCCAAATTACAGATCACCCCTTCCTTCCCTCCCAGGTTCTCCGAGTTCATCACATCTCCACTCTCAGAGTAACTCCAGCCTCCCAAGAATTCCAAACCCTGCCTTTGATCTGCCCCTCCTCAGAAGCCCCCATCCATTCTCTATCGCTCCTCTGATAAAGCATTCCTATCCCTGTAACAGTTCCCTTACTACATTCCAGTTCAACCCTCACCAATCTCACTCCATCTCAAAGAAAACTACCTTCTGCCCACAACTCCTTAGATCAACCTTTCTAGTATACTTAGGACCTCCGAACACTCCAATCCTTCAAATGGCAGTCCCTAAAATCAACCTCCCCTATGTCTTCAGGCCCAGTCTCAGCCATCCTGGAGGTCTCCCTCTCATACCTGTCCCCTCACCCTTTAAAATATATCCAGAATAAATATCTGACGCCTTCTTTAGAGTCCCAAGCCCCATTACTGATGTCTCAAGTGGACTACTGCAGTAATTACCATGGCAGTCTCGTAACTGGAATCCTTATTTCCACTTCTGCCCACTTCAACCTACTCTCCGCACAGCGAGTGATCTTTTTAAAACACAAATCATATCATGTTACTCCTACTCAAAACTCTCCGACAGGTTTCCCAGCACACTTAGAGTAAAAACTAAAAAAGCTACTCGACTCCTTTGGTTCCAGCCACCGTTTCTCTCAAGAGCCTTCCCTGGCCACCCTATCAAATAGCTCTCTACTTCGCCATCCTTTATGGACCTTCTTGTCCTGCTTTTTTATCTCCTGCGCTTGCATTACTTAACATTTTATTATTTATGTTTGTCTCCAACACTAGAATGTAAGTTCCGTGTGAGCAAGGAGTCTGTTTGGTTCAGAAATGTATGCTCTGTGCCTGGAAAAGGTGTTCGATAAATACTTGATCAAATCAATCGCCTCTCTCAAAGACCTCGTCCCCTCCGATAACTATTCCTCAATACCTCAGGTATGCCCAATCTTAGGGTCCTGTCCTCTCTGGACACACCCCCATACCTAGACACAGCACATCCGTCAGGCACCTCCAAGACCCCTAGACTCTGGGAGACTCTCAAGACCCCTGCAAGATATTACTTGCCCCCAAACTCCTCAAAAACCCTCATTCTTTCAGACTGGCCCTCCCCTTAGAAGCCACGAGAATGTAAGCTCGCCTGTTTCGTTTGGCAGTCTCCCCAGCATCCAGCAGAGAACAGGTCCCCACTATCTAGGAATGAATGAACTACGCCCCGCCCCACCCCCGCCTCATCCTTACCAGGCATTCCCGGCCCCTTCTATCCCCTAAGCCCCCACTCCCGACCGAAACCCCACCATCACCCCTTTCGAGGTTCTGAGTCCGAGCTGGAATCCTCTCGATCCCTTAGGGCTCCCCCACCTCCTCCCAGTGGCCTCCAAACACTCAGGGCGGCCCTCTCACCACCCGTGGATGTCCCCGCTAGCCGTACCTTCCAGAAACATCCCAAGTCAACCTTTCCGATCCTCGCAGGCGGGCTACCATCCCCGGGTACAGAATTCCCGCCTCATCTCTTCAAATTAGAGCCCCCTCCCACCCCGCTCCCCGAGGGCCGCGAACGCCTCGGGCCGGACGCCCCACCCCCAGACCCGCAGCCCAACGAGCTGCCGCTGGCCCTGACCGTTTCTGGGCCTCCAAGCCCCAGAGACGGATCTGCCGGTCATACTGCGCCGCCTCCTCCTCGCTGATCCCGCCGCCGGCCTCCTCTTTCTCCACCATGGCGCCGGTTCTCGCTGCCTACGCTCGGGTTCTGCCCACGCCAACCACCCACCGG